AAAAAAAAAAAAGTGAAAGGACAAACTTCCACACAAAATTGCGTGCTGAACAGAAAAGGCTAGCCATTTCCCCCAACATCACATCCCCTGGCCCCAATCATACCCTTACCTGTAAGAGGCACTTGATCCGCTCTCCAGGGGTCATGATGCCTGTGGTGAATACGCCAGATAACATCCCGGCTGCAAATAGTTGGGGGTAGCTGTATTGAAAACAAAAACCAGAGGCAAGTACCTGTGACTATCCACCCAGGACAGAGGCAATCCCAGCAGAGTTTGTAAGAAAAAATAAGTACTTGGACTGGGAAGAAAGCTCAGCACAAATAAATTATGTTTCACACAAAAGCCAAGTTCTCGGTGTATTCTGATGTCAAACTTCCCAGGGCAGGGGTCTCAGTTCCAAGAGCCATTCGAGGCCTGCCTGCACACTCATATGGCCTCACCCATGGAAGAAGCTTTCTAGCGAGACACAGTTTCCTCCCCTGGGCCTGCCATGCACAGTGACTATGGACAAGTTTTCAGGCCTCTCTGAGCCTTGCTTCCCCATCTATAAAATTCAGGGTTGTTGTGGAAAAAAGCCACTAACCCAGGACCTGGATCTCAGTCGACCCCAGTTCCCCTCCAATCTCACTTTCTCTGGATCACCAAGGGCCTGGGAACATTTTAAGCCAAGATTCAAGCAGGACAGCATCAAGGCCAAGGGAGAACAACTGTGGCTACCTCCACAGACTGGGGGGCAGCCTGTCCAGTCCTAAGGAATGTGCTATAAGATACTGAGAAAGGGCCAGACAGGAATGATACCCATACAGGCATGATGGGTTCTGTGGCCCTCTGTGCAGGGAACAGTCCCTTAGTGGCCAGAGATAGGGATCCTCACCTTGGCCCCACAGAATGAGCTACACTGAGTATTTGGAGGAGTCTGAGGCTTCTAGCATCCATAGCCCACAGCTATGCCACCTCTGGCATCTTTTCCTTCTGGGATTAGCAATACCAAGGCCGTCTAGAGGCCAAGGAGCACAAAGCTACAATTAGCATCTCAACAGAGTCCCCGCAATTTAGCAAATGTTGCTGAAAAACTTCACTTACTTGGCTAAGCCTCAGGCCACTCCTAACCCCAGGCCTCTGACAGCTGAGCCTTCAGGCCTGTTCTACCCAACAAGGAGCCCAAGACCTGAGGAACAGATGTCAAGTAGGGATAGGGAGACATCCACTAAGGGTTCTTCCCTCTAGATAGGACACCAGTCTCAACAGTCCAGTTTTTTGCACACACACACTCCTGGTGGTACTCATACATCCACCTCAGCCAAAGGCACGCACAGCACAAAGACTGACTACTGAACAGTCAAGAGACTTGCTTTTGTACATGGTCTCCTTCACAGTCTCAATCCACATCACTGTCCCCAAGAGGAGACCTCTCAGCAAATAAACTTCCCCTTATGAGATCAGCATGCTCCATTCTTTCCAGGATGCCCAGACCCTAGGCCGGGCACACCTCCATCTCCTGGCTTTCCTCTGAGTGTGGTCTCTGTGTGCGCACAGGGTACCGAGTAGACACTATGTGATTGCCTGGCCCTTCTGCCACCCCTGGGAGGTATCTGTGAGTGCTGGCCCTCCTAGGCTTCCATCCCAAGGCCCTGGCACTGCTCCTTTCCATACTGTCCCCAAACACCACTGCAGGGAAAGGAGTGTGTCAGGGCTGACATTCAGGATTCAGGACATGGCAGGATTGTGGGGATGGGGTCCTGAGTGTCTTAACCTTTGCTTAAGCAGGAAGTGTTCCTCTTGAGTGCTAGCGTGACCGCACAGGGAACACAACCCATAGGCCAAAGTACTGGCAGTGACCTTGCTGGGGTTCTGGTGCATGGCCCTGGCACAGCTGTGAAAAATCTGTTTTCAGGAACTACTTTGTCATGATCTATGATTCTGACTCACCAGCCACTTCACACCCAAATCCAACTTCTTACAGTTTATTAAAAGGAAAAACACTAACTTTTTTCAGTTTAATAGAGAAACCAATATCTGGATAATTACAATCATGTTATAAAAATGAAGTCAAACAAAAGTAGGAGTCTCCTTTCTCCCAACCAGGTGATGGGAAACAAGGCTGCTGCTGTCATTAAGGAGGCACCAGGTGCTGCTCAGGGCACCTGACACACACTTTAGCATTCAGACCTCACAATGCCCCTTGGGGCTGGTATTGCTAATATCCCCAGTAAGTGCAATACTATCTCACAGAAGGAATTATGGCAACCTGGCAAGGGGGGGGGCGCAGTTTTTCCCTTTTGGTTCACAGGGCAAAGGAAACTCAAGTAGCTCCCTCATGTGGCGCTTCCAGGAGCCAGCCTCAGGGCCCAGGAGGACAGCCACTGCCTGTCAACCAAGGTTCTTTCCTTTAACTCAGGTCACACCACCAGGCAGAGCAGCATCCAGTGCTCCAGATTTGTAAATACTCACCTGAGCACATCTTCTGGGTGTTTCTGTTGCAGTTTCTTCCCCAAACCAAACCCAAAGAAGCACACAGCGAACATAGGGGTGACCCCGATGATGGGGGCAGCCATGCCTCGATAGAGCCCCGTGATGCCCTGCAATGAATCACAGAAAGAGAAACCACCACCCATTACACTGCTGAAACAGGCAAGCAATGTGTCCACTCACCTGAAGCTTCCTTCCTTTACCTCTCCGCCAAGCAAGGAGAGCTTTTAAAAGGAAGAAAACCCCCACATTTATCCAAAGTATTTGCCCTCTTAGCTCTGGCCAGTGTGAGTCAGTTGTTTGGGCATCGTCAGGTGCACTGAACAGTTGCTGGTTTGATTTTTGATCAGGGCACATGCCCGGGGTTGTGGCTGGATCCCTGGTAGGGGGCATGCAGAAGAGAGCGGACAGATGTTTCACTCTCACATCTGTTTCTCTCTCTCTCTCCCTCTCCCTTCCTCTTTCTCTCAGAATCAATTTAAAAAATCTTAATTAAGAAAGAAAAAAAATAGTTGTCATCTTATATACTGCTGGAGAAAATGGAAAAACAGTGTCCATTCTGGAAGAAAATCTGACAGTATGTAATATACCCTTTCACCAGGAAATTCTTGTCTAGAAATGTATTCTAAGGAAATACTCAGAAATGTAAAATAATAACAACAACAACAACATTGGGCACTTATCAGGTACCAAGATTTTGAAATGACTTTAAAAGTTCCTAAACAGGAAATAAATGAGACAAATTATAGAAATTCCATAAACAGACTATCACACAGTCACAAAATCACACTGTAATGTGGAGACTACTAAATGAAAACAAAGCAGGCTACCAAACAGGATATACAATGTGATCTGATTTCCTTGAGGGTGTGGTTACAGGTGATTAAAATTTTTTGTATTTTCCAAGTATTAAGACATGGGATTTTTGTTGTTAAAAACAATAGTCATACTGCACATCAATTTTTTACTAGTATAGTTTGCTAATGAAAGCAAGTACGTAGTAGCAATAAGTAGACAGTAAGACATATAGATATCCTAACCAAACAAGGGTAGTAAACCAAGGGAAAGGAAGGTCTGGGATCTGGGAGAGCAAAGGTTCAGCCCGAGAGAGGTGAAAGGGACTTCCAGGATGGTACCGGGTGCAGTGGGCTGGGAAAACGCCAGTCCATATGGGAGTACAAGGAGGGAGAATTCTGTTTTTCCAAGAAAAACAAGGCAAACCAACACACACTGGAACAACAGATTATTACTGTTCAGGCAGTGTGGAAAACCAGAGAGGTATTCCACACAGCATTTAGGGTACAGCATGACACAGACAGCCATTCAAAGAAACACAAGCAACTGAAATTGACATAATTACTAACCCAACCTCAAGAAAAACAAAAAATTGCACAATAAATGAGTGCACATCATAGCACATTACTTAGTTAACGGAAAGAAACATATATATAGTTGCAATAATAAAAACAGTGAGTTGGATTAAATCACCAAGTAGGATAAAAGTATATGGGCAGGGCCGAAAGAGGGGATAGGTGATGTAAGAGTTCAAGTCATCTATCATAAAGAGCGAGATAAAACATATAAAAATGTGTGAAAGATAGCAGTAAATGTTTATTATGTAGTTCCATAGAAACAGCATAAACGACTGCAAGAGCTCAAAGTAATTGCCCCTGGAAAATGGGG